AATGTATGAGATCATTTGACCACTCCTCTTAAAATAATAACTGGAGTTTTACTTTGTCAATAGAGCAATTTCAGCTGTTGCACTAAATGAATAAAAAAATTAATAAATAATGGTGACTTAACAACCTAGATATTTAATTTAAAAAAAATGTACATTCTTATTAAGAAAAAAATGTTAAATAGAACAAGTCTGCCTTAAAACACTAAAATAATACTTTGATCAAGTTTAGAGAGCTTATCAGAAGAAGGACACATCACTGTTACTGTTACAGTTTGTGTCAGTGGAAAGGACAAACTGACCTGACATCAGAATGTGTTCAGACTCATAATCTACATATATTCTGCTGCACCCAGTGAAGGTGTGTCATTAAATGTCATCCAGTCATAACTACATATTTTAGTGGAGTTCCTAAGGCTGAGTTCAGAAACTAAAGAGTAAAAATCATTAATATTGTCCCAGTAACTGCTTTTTAACACCTGAGCACAAATTAAATCAAAGCTAATTTATTTATATAGCACATAGACTAAAAAATATAGATTAAAACATAAACTAAAACTAATAAAAGAAGCAGTGAATAAAAAAAACAAATAAATAAACAAACTCTCTCTCAACGCCAGTGAGTACATGAGACTTAAAAACATCAAGTGTCAAAGCCCGTCTGATATGAAGAGGCAGCTGGTTCCACAGTTTGGGAGCTACAACCGAAAATGCATTATGTTAAAACGCGTGAATCGAAACATATTTTTAATTGTTTCTCCACATTTTCAGACAACAGGAAGTATAACATTTGAGTCACAAATAAAAAAATAAAAAAGCACAATGAGAAATGTTGTTGACAACTAATGAGGCCAAAACTCACAGAACGATGAGTCAGTCACTGCTAATTAAATCCCTCGAGTTACAGGATTAAAGGATACTGAAAAAAACATCTGGTTAAAACAGGGCATGTCTTTGTGGTTCATCTTTACGAGCGGGAATGTTACGTTGTAATTGATTTAATTAAAGCTGACTTCATAAGGAGGAGTGAAAACACTGCTCGTAGAATGTGTGATTAATTGTACAAAAATAAAGTTAAGAAAATGTACTAAAAGCGCAACAACAAACTATCATCTGTAAAATAAGGAACATCTCTCATCACATCAATTCACATAAAAAATGGCAGGTTTTTGTTTTTAATTTAAATTAAAAAAAAATAATATATATCCCTGTTTTCCAAGTCTATCCAATAAGAAAAAACGAACTCAATAATTCTTTACATAAAAACAATTAATTTAGCATCTTTTATTGTAGCTTTTATCATCTCATCTCTTCATTTTTGTGTTTACACTCAGTAAAGCTCTTAAATCTCAGCTGTCGCATTTCTTAACAAAAAAGTCAGCTTGTCAGGTCACTCCAGGTCACACAACATTAATTACCGTATTTTTCGGACTATAAGGCACATTATCAATGAACGGGTCTGTTTTCATACATAAGGTGCACTGGATTATAAGGAGCATTAAGTGAAACAAAACAGCCAGATATGTCAAATTTATTCAACTCATTCACAATAACTCTCAACATTGTTCAGTTGTACCACATTAAATCGGTTCGAGGTCAGTAAGCAGAACCAGAATTAATACATAAGGCTCACTGTTGATTTTTGAGAAAATTAAAGGATTTTAAGTGTGCCTTACAGTCCAAAAAATACAGTAACACGTTGGAATGACTTTTAAAAAGATATGTTTAAATGATGACTAAAAGTTACACTGTTAAGTTTGTTTAAGACCTTTTTGACAAAGAAAAGATCAAAATAGGAGGGTTATTTTCAATTATACTGCCTATTCATTTATAAAATTTATTATGCAAGTCAATAGTTAGTCGTTTCAGAATAAGTTACATTGTAAAAATTTACAAAAGTACTAAATAATTAGAAAACTTTTGTTTTTCTGTTCTAGTAGTACTTTATAAATATTCAGGCTAAAACTGTTATTCAGATGCCACAAATTGAAAAGGATGTCTTGTTATCCAGTGTAACAACTGTAAGCCGCATTCTCTTTTTAGACCTAACTCATTAAGCTTATTTTGTTGGGTGGCCGGGCTCAGCCTCGTGAGGAGCTCTGTCATCTGGGGGGAGCTCGGAGTAGAGCCGCTGCTCCTCTGTGTCAAAAGAATCAGTTGAGGTGCCGAGCATTTGATTAGGATGCCTCCATTTAGAGGATTTCTGGGCAAGTCTCACTGGTAGGAGGCCCAGAGGAAGACCCAGAACTTGCTGGAGGGATTGTATATCTCTGTTCTGGGAACACCTTGGGGTCCCTCAGGATGAGCTGAGAAGTGTGGCTGGGGAGGAGGATGTCTGGGTTTCTCTTTTGGACATTTTACCTCCATGAGCCAATTACAGATAAGGTGTAAAAGATGAAGATGGAGCTTTAAATTTATTATTTTCAGATTAAAAAATAAAGTAGAATTATTTTTTAACTAAAGGCTTGGCAGTCAATGCTGTGTCAGCCTGTGTTTGAGCCCAGGTTGAGTCAAGAAGGAAATTTGCACTGAAACTATTGCCAAATCATCGGAGTTTAATCACTGTGGTGACCCAGCCAAAAGAAGAAACAGTTACTGTTTATTGTTTTAATCACTGATTGTAATATATATATATATATATATATATATATATATATATATATATATATATATATATATATATATATATATACATATATCCATCCATCCATTTTCTTCCACTTATCTGGGGTCGGATCGCGGGGGTATAGCAGCCTAAGTAGGGAGGCCCAGACTTCCCTCTCCCCAGCCACTTGGTCCAGCTCCTCCGGGGGGGATCCCAAGGCGTTCTCAGGCCAGCCGAGAAACAAAATAGTCCCTCCAGCGTGTCCTGGGTCTTCCTATGGGTCTCCTCCCGGTGGGACGTGCTTGGAGCACCTCACCATGGGGAGGCCTCCAGGAGGCATCCTAATCAGATGCCCGAGCCACCTCATCTGGCTCCTCTCGATGTGGAGAAGCAGCAGTTCTACTCTGAGTCCCTCCCAGATGACTGAGCTTCTCACCCTATCTCTAAGGGAGAGCCCAGACACCCTGCAGAGAAAACTCATTTCGGCCGCCTGTATCCGTGATCTCATTCTTTCGGTCACATCCCAAAGCTCATGACCATAGATGAGGGTAGGAACGTAGATGACCGGTAAATTGAGAGCTTCACCTTTTAACTCAGCTCTCTCTTCACCACGACAGACCGGTACAGCGCCCGCTTCACTACAGACGTTGCACCTATTCGCCTATCCATCTCACGCTCCATTTTTCCCTAATTCGTGAACAAGACCCCGAGATACTTGAACTCCCCTTTTCTGGCTCATTATTTATTTATTTATTTATAATGAGCCGGAAAAGGGTAGAGTGCCCTCTCCGGGTCGGGGAGGAGGTCCTGACCCAAGTGGAGG